TGCACTTATCTTTCTTTTACAGCATTCTATATTTGAGTCCATGGTCAGGTTTTCATTGTGTATCAAAACTGTAGGAGGGCTAATGGCATTATAGTCTCTTCTTGGAATGAATGCCCATCATCAGTCCACATGTGCACCTCTTTCGCTGACTGGGTAACTACATGAAAACTGTCAAGCACAGAACATAGAGCTTGTGTGGGGGAGCTGGACGACACCGTGAGTTGCTTGATGATGCTCATTATAGCCGGCAGTGTCAAAGGCTGATTTCCTGAGGACTGGAGCACGGGCAGAATCCAAACATGGCACTACATTTTTCAAGGGAGCGTGGTTTATGGCTGTTTTGTGTTCATTAAGTAATTCTAGTGTAAATTTCCACTTTAAGAACTAGTTCTTTGTGTAGAATAACATAAAATTATGTATTGCCCCTTTTGTTTCCCATTATGTGGTCTGTAGTAGACTGCATTTAATTTGCTATAAAGACCAACCCACTCCCCCAACCAACCCACTGGTCCCCAGTCCAATAAGTGTGCTATTTCTTAAAGCCAAGCTTTTTTTTAATCAACTATAGCTAACTAAAACTGCTCTCTAAGGTCCCTTTACACAGGTGGTCTGTTCGGGTCCGTCTGTCAGGTTTTTCAAGAAGACCCAATCAGATGCCCAATGCTAGTCTATGGGCAGCCAAGTGTAAACAGATGGATGTCCGTTTACAGCTGGTTACCCCTGACCAGAGGGCCCGATCTGGAAAAACAAACACAGCAGAGATCCGTTTCACCGGACCTGATTGTGCTGGATCGGGGGTAATCTGACGTAAATGGACACATGTCTGTTCACATTAATTTCCCCATAGACCAGCATAGGGTCCATTATTTCAGTTGCAAGATGGAGGGAAAAACTGGACGGACATGGATGTCACAGTAGTGACATCTGATCCGTACTGCCCCGATCAGGAGAGGATCCATGCACGGATCCCCTCCTGATCAGCCCGTGTGAAAGGGGCCTAAGCTTGGACAACATGGTGCTTGATCTTTTTCGTCCTTTCTGAGCTTACTTTGCTATGAAGACTCTGTTTACTTATCTTTGAGCCAACTACATGAGGTCCTTCTGTTCAATAAAATTGCATTAGTGGCCTGCAAGGCTCTCTCACTATACTGGGCGAAGGTGGCAATTGTACCCAAGCCAAGTAACCCGTTTCCCTATAACAAAGTTGAAATAAAAAAAGATCTCACAGGACGCTTTCTAAACAATGATGTGGTGCTCAATCTTAGGAAGAACTGTTATTTTTAAATAGGGTGGAGGTAACTACAACAATTATATTTTGTATTCTAAAATAAATACATTATTGCAGATTTTCTGAACCACTTATAGTGCCCATACACCTTACGATTATCGGCCGATTTTCGTATGCGATCGCGTTTTCGTCCGATATTCGTAAGGTTGATGGGCAGTGTACAACTGCAAATACTGTACAATCAATTGACTTTTGACTATCCAGCAGGTTAAAAAA